TTCATATTACTGGCCGGGGGATTATTTGAGAATTATTGAGTTAAGAAGAGAGAAGGGTAGAGAATTTGCAATAGATTGAGGCTAGAAGATAGGAGATAGTCTAAAATTGGGCAAGGTGAGGTGAAAAAGTTGACAATAGAAAGGATTAGTTGTCAGCAGTTTAGCTGTAGTTTTTAAGTATGGGTTGACATAAGATGATTGGATGTAAACCGATATGATAAGATCTGCAATGTTAATATATTATCATATAGGATGTACTGTTCTATATATATATATATATATATGTCATATAATTAAATATTATGCTATCATGATATAATATCATATCATATTATGTCTTATAAATTATAACATACATTTATATCATATTATATCAAATCCTTTAATAAAATAGAATACACTATGAAATGATGGGATATTATGTAATATAGTATGATATGATGTCATACCATATCAAATCATATTAAATCATATCAAATAAAGTTGAATCATATAATATAATATCATATTCTATCATTCCTATAATATAATTTTATAGTATATTATATTTTATTATATCAGATTATGCTATAATATACCACAACATATTATAAAATAAGAATTCATATTCTGTTATATAATGTTATAAATTATCCTATCTTATAATATCGTTCATTATAAATCATACCATATCATATTATATCAAATGAATTCACGTGTTTTTATATAGTGTATTATAATATGACATATCTTTTAATCTAATCTAAGTTACTATGAATTGATACAATATGATTTGGTATGGTATGTAGTGATATGATATCACACCCTATCATATCATTTAATGTTTTATTATATCATACCCAATAGTCTAATATGATATATTATGGTAGAATAAAATAAATAATAATATGATATGATGGGATTTAATATAAAATGTCTCAACCGGCACAAGCTCGTCACTGATGTGCCGGTATCGAAAGACGCCCCTTAGAGGACTTCGTTGCACAAGACAACGCAAACCCCATAAAATCAGTCGTTTACTCATTCAGGTGAGGCCAACATATGAATCGTTTTCAGTTAAGCCATCTTTCCCAACGAACTAGATTGTAGAACAACAACAGCCCAACCCCTTTTTCCGTGATTAAAGTATGAGGATCATAACATGTGGCCACAAAGGCGAAACTGTAAACCATAAGTTGAACGATCAAATAGCATCGACCTCTGTTTAATCATCTTCATTCCATGTGTCGTTTTGTCCCGTTCCTGCGTTCTGTCTCTTCATGGAGGTCTCACACGTCCAGAGTCCCAAACTGCCCACCAGCCAGTCAGCCAACCAGCCAATCGCATTGCTCCTTGCATGAAGAGGCTCTTCGGCTACCCCGACTTGGTAGGATCCAGTCGGTCTCCACGATTTCCGGATCCCCAGCTCGGACAGACCATTGGAGCCATTCAGCCTCAGGTCAGGCCCAGAGGAGACGAACTGGCGGCCAGAGGCAGATGTGACAAGAGCCAGACTTCGCAGAAGTCCAGGCCCATCTGCCCAGTGGCCGGTAGGGCCGAAGCGGTGGATGATGCCACGCCTCCATGGTCCACGTTGTGTTGTTGCTGCTGCTGGTGGTAGTGGTGGTGGGGGTGGTGGGGGTGGTGGTGAGACGGACAGGGAAGAGGACTTCCGCTTTTGGGCCACAACCAACCAGGGGCG